TTGTTCACTCAGTCATGACGATTGCAGAAAGCTCCTAACACGCAAATTCGCCAACTTCTCCCCGGGCGAAATCGACCACTTCGTTTTTACCAAAGTTGCGTCTTCACAACCCTCAGCACAAATCTCATTGTCGTAGGTAGGGCTGGTTGATGACAATAAAGATGGCTTTGTCACCCTAGAGAAAATTCAGTCCTTTTCACGCACAAACAAAATCATTGCCGATGTTTTCCCTTGTCAGTTGCTTGATTGAGCCAGCGGGAAGTTCAACTTGTGTGTATGTAAAGGGAATTAGCTAGGCTACCCTTCAATGAACTGGGTACTTGCAGTTTAAACGAACCCCACTAGTCTCGTGGAAAATTCTTAAGTCAAGATTCCGTTGAGTAGATGAAAATCTTAAAAGAAATGAGGAAAATGAAAAGATAATTGATGAGGCTTGTCGTGATATGAACATTGATTTTGATATTTTTCAATACAAACCTGTGTTATTTTGTCCGTGTGGACACGATATATTAAGAAATCATTTTATAGGTTTACCAAATTCCAATAAAGTTATTTGCATAGGTAGTGAATGTGTTAAACATTTTATTGTTAATGAAGGTGTGACGAAGTTAAAATGTTTCAAGTGTGATAAGGGACAGCGTTCCAAGGACGGTATAATTTTATGTTCTACTTGTGGAAAGTATATTAGGGATTGTATAGAGAGCGGTTTTGCGAAACGCCTTAATGGGCATTGGTCTCTTGAAAGAGATCGTAAGAAACAAAAGGAACGATTCAAAGAGTTTATAAGGACAGATTTACCGAGAAAATTGCGGGTTATGTATGAAAGAGGCAAATGTTGGAAGGAATTTATGGTTTTACTTTGGAAAGTAGCTTTCTAGTCAATCAAGATAATAATTTGGCATAAAGGGTAAGTTGAGTGAGCCTCAAGGCCCACCCCACTACCCTAGTTTACTAGCTAAACTCCCTCTCTCTAAAATAGGTTCGGCTGGCCACGGGGAGAAAGAATTTCGCCGGCGGGCTGCTTCAGCAGCGCCGGCCAGATAAGAGCATAAGGAGCGAGTATCGACTGAGCTGCAATAATAAATAACAGCTCATTCTCTCTCTCTCCTCTGGGCGCTACTTTCCTGGCTAATCGAAGATTACCTGTACAAAGTAGCTTTCTAGTCAATCAAGATAATAATTTGGCATAAAGGGTAAGTTGAGTGAGCCTCAAGGCCCACCCACACGAAGTCCCCGAAAGGATCAATCGACGTACCTCTGACCTCGTCCTCCTGTGAGAACTTGG